TGATCAACCATGCAATAATGATTTTTTTCTTAAAGATTTATTCATTTTTATTACACTTCCCATGCAGCTCCCTGCTTGTGGCCTGGACAGCCCAAAGCCTTGGGACCCTGCACCCACGTGGGAGACCTGGAGAAAGTTCCTGGCTCCTGGCTTTGGATTGGTGCAGCACCGGCCACTGCGCTCACTTAGGGAGTGAATCATCAGACGGAAGATCTTCCTCTCTGTCTCTCCTCCTTTCTGTATATCTGACTTTGTAATAAAAATAAGTAAGGAAAATATTTATCTATATTGTAAAAGCAGATCAGATTTTTGAACAGAAGGATAGACAGAAAGCCCTTCTACCCGCTGGTTCACTCCCCAAGTGACTGCAACAGCTGGAGCTGAGCTGACTCAAAGCCAAGAGTTTCTTCTGGGTCTTCAGCGTTGGTGCAGGATCACAAGGCTTTGGGCCTTGCTCCACTGTCTTCCCAGGTCACAAGCAGGGAGCTGGAAGAGAAGTAGAGCTGCCAAGACACAAACTGGCACCCATATGGGATCCCCAGTGCATACACTGTAAAGATTTAGCCACTGAGCCATCGTGCCAGACCCAAAATAGAATAAGTCTTTAAAGCTCGGGCTCGGAGCTGATGCACCATTTCTGTCATATTTTAGTGGCCAAAGCTGGCCACAGGACCAGCCAAGCTCCATCTCTTGAAGTGCACCTGCAGCCAACTCCCATATTGAAGCGAGGATGAGGTTACAGGAAAGGCAAGCACTCGTGCCTAACTCTGCCCGCACATTTCTAAGGGAATATTTATCATAAGATTAATATGTTCAGATTAGGATAATATTCTTTTTTTGAAAGATTTATTTTAAAGGCAGAATTTTTAAAAGGCAGGGAACAACAGAAAGAGATTTTCCATCTACTGGTTCACTTCCTACATGGATGGCTGTCATGGCCAGCTGGGCCAGGTTGAAGCCAGGAATTTCCAGGGAAACCATGTGGATGGCAGGGGCCCGAGTCCTAGGCCAACGCCTGTGGTCCCAGGCGTGTTAGAGAGCTAGATTGGAAATGGAGCAAATAGGACTTGAGCTGGCACTCAGTAGGATGCCAGCATTGCAGGTTAACTGGTGCACCAGAGTGCCAGCTCCGAAGTGTGACTGCCTCAGATTTACCACGCTGTGATTAAAGGCAGGATTCTTCTGTGGTAGACACGGAAGAGACTCCTGTCTCCTGGCTTTGAATCAATTCAGCTGTGGCAGTTGTGGCCGCCTGGGGAGTGAACCAGGGGCCGGAAGATATTGCTCTCTCTCCTTCTCTCTGAAGATCTGTTTCTCCAATAAATTTTTTTTTTTAAGATTTAGTTATTTTTATTGGAAAGTCAGGTATACAGAGAGGAAGAGAGACAGAGAGGAAGATGTTTCGTCCGCCGAGTCACTCCCCGGATGACCACAATGGCCAGAACTGAGCTGATCCAAAACCAGGAGCCAGGAACTACTTCTGGGTCTCTCACATGGGTGCAGGGTCCCAAGGGTTTGGGCCATCTTCCACTGCTTTCCCAGGCCACAAATAGGGAGCTGGATGGGAAGCAGGGTCACTGGGGTTTGAACTGGTGCCCATATGGGAATCCTGGTGCGTGCAAGGTGAGGACTTTAGCCACCAGGCTACTGTGCTGGGCCCTAAATAAATCTTTAAATAACAATAAGATGGAAGTAGCAAGAGTAAAAACCAGTTGATATTCTTAATACTTGTAAAATGGCCAGGCCAGTACTGTGGTATAGCACACTAATCCTCCTCCTGTGGCGTCAGCATCTTCTTATATAGGTTCTGGCCCATGTCCCAGATGTTCTACTTTCCATCCAGCTCCCTAATTGTGATTTGGGAAAACAGTGGAGGATGGTTCAAAACTTTGGAACCTACACCCACACAGAAAATCTGGAATAAGCTCCTGGCTCCCAGCCTTGGACTGGCCCACCTCTGGACATGGCATCATTTGAGGAATGAGCCAGGGAATGGAAGACCTCTTGCACTCCCTGTCTCCCCCGTTCCTCTGTAACTGACTTTCAAGCAAAAACAGACCTTTTTAAACCAGCAACCTCCCTGGGCCCAGTGCAATCGCATAGTGGCTAAATCCTCACCTTGCATGTGCCAGGATGCTGGTTCATGTCGCGACTGCTCAGTTTCCCCATCCAGCTCGCTGCAAGGTGAGGATTTAGCCACTAGGCTATCTGTGCTGGACCCTGTCCATACTATTGTCATTGTACAGAGAAAAGGGCCCGGTGTATTTTGAAGCTGTTCATGCTGCAGGAGCTTTGGCGGAAAGCTTTTTGGCTCGCCTCTGAAGTAGCCACTTGAGGAAACCCCGGGAACCCTTCACTCCGGCTAGCTGCCAGCTCACCTAAATAGGGATAAAAGTTCAAAGTGTCGGATTGTGAAGGCTTTTTGGCAGGCCTGCTTCATGGTATTATGAATTTGAATCCCCCCCCCCACACACACAACATGGAAGAGAAGAATAGTAACAGAGGGGAGCAACTGCGAAACGTGCTATTGGAAGCCTGTCCCCCGGAGATAAGAGCTTTTCATGGAACTTTATTGAGCTTTTTATCAAACTTTTTTGTTGAAAGCTCTTTCCTTCCCGCAAATATCTTTTTCCTCCAATTTTCCAAGGGTGGAAGAGAGGCTCTGAACCACAAAAGGGCTGCATTTTTTTTTTTAAACCTGCGGCAGGACCCTCATCCTGACAGGCATGCAGGGTGGCTGTACCCGCCTGCATGGAACCAGCCACAAAACCTAGGCGTACAATCTCCAGACTCTTCCAAACTTCCCTGGGTGGAAACTTCACTGCTGGAGCCTCACGGCTGTTGGATCAGTCCTATTTACGATTTTAATAAATGAGTTTGTTTTAATAAAAACAAGGAACTCTGTGAGCTTGATCTTGAAACAGATTCATGTGGGTTGGCACCATCTGCTGTACCGAACATACATTCGCGTTACTTAAGCCGGCAGCCAGCAGTTGTTTTTTTTTTCTTTCCGCCCTCTCCTTCCCCCCCACCCCAGGTGGTGGGGATGACACTCGGGACCCCGTTGGCAGCACCGTGCCACGGGCAGGACTGCCCCGTGCGCGTGACCGTGCGGGCAACGGGGCGCCGAGCCACCGAGACAGCTCAGAGACAAGCAGAGGACATACACCGTAGCTGGGGAGGACGCAGAGCACGAGCAGGAGGAAAAGGGAGCCTGGGCTCCCACGGCTGCGCGGCAGGTGCTTGCGTCACCTCGGCCGGGACCCTGCCGGGGCGTGGGGAGCGTGAGTCAGCACCTGGGAGAACTCTTTATCTGCTTTTCTCCAAAAGAAAGGAAGAGAGAAGAAAGTCTCTGTGCACGACTAGCATCCCTAGAAGGGTCTGTCCCTCCTGCATCTGTCGCCACTCCCCCCTCACTCGACACATTGCGGCCGTCAGGGCTCTGATGGCCACTAGACTGGAGGATACGCCTGGGAAACAAGCCTGCTGCCCACCTCAGGCTTCCCTCTGCCACAGTGTCCGACAGTAGCCCTTAGACGTACGGAAGAAAGAACGAACGGCTGCATCTGCACCATTTGTTTTCCCTGGGGACCAAGTCCCAGGGGCTCTCGGTGGGCGCGGGGTGACCCCTAGGGAGCGTCCTTGTACAGAGACCGGACCCTGTGGGGAGACCTATCGTTTCCGACATCGTGTTGATCACGGTATGGTAGCTCGTGATCAACGATCCTTCTTCCCCTTTCGTCCCTCACCACACGGTTTCTAGAATTCGGACCGGCAGTTTGCACTGGCGGCTTACTTTCAGGTGAGCGCGACGGCGTTGATATTTTCTGTGGTAAATCCGGGGTCGCCGCGCAGAGCAGGGCTCGGGTCCCTCCACTCATGGAGGGTCCCTCACTCGATGAGCCGGAGCGCTCGCCAGCTCTAGCACCCCAAGATGACACAGCGAATAATAAGCAGGCCTACGCCGCTTTCCTGCGTCAGCTTTCCACCCTGAGCAGCCGCAGGACTACATCCCGTGGAAGCTGTCTGCATTTTTGGAAGGGGAGGACTCGAAAGGCCTTCGCGAGGGAAGGTGACGGGAGGCGCAGCCGGCGGCTCCGAAGCCAGGGCGCACCGAACTTCTGGAGTCGGAGGCCACGAGAGGTGGAGCTGCAGGGACCAGCGGCGCGACCACTGCGGGCGGGGGGCGGAGCCTGGCCTCCCGGGGCGGGGCTTCCAGGACGGAGGCGGAGCCTGGCTTCCCGGGGCGGGGCTTCCAGGACGGAGGCGGAGCCTGGCTTCCCGGGGCGGGGCTTCCAGGACTGGGCGGGGAGTCCTGGAGGCGGGGCCAGGGGCAGCGGGCCGGAGATGGAACTGACGGTGACAAGGGGGCGCCTCTCCCGTTCCGGCGGTGTCGGCGGGAAGACCGAACGTGCGCCCAGAAGGCGGGAGGCGCAGTCTTCTGGACTGACCTGACAGACTGCGAAGCTTCTGGTCGCACTGGGCGGAGCCATCACCGGCGAGGGACGGGGCGGGAGGCGGGGTCGGGACTTCTGACAGGAGGCGGGGCTGTCTTCTGGATCTGAGAAACGACCAGGCTTCTGGCCACCGCGTGCAGAGTCACCGCCGGCAAGGGGCGGGGACCTCGTCAGCCTGGGCGGGGCCATCGTCGGCGAGGGCGGGGCTTCAGATGACAGAAGGCGGGGCTGCCTTCTGGATTGATCTAAGAAACGACCAGGCTTCTGGCCCCAGCGTGTGGAGTCGCCGCCGGCAAGGGGCGGGGCCAGCGCCGGCGGGGCGGGGCTTCAGCTGACAGGAGGCGGGGAGGCTCCCCGGCGCCCGCGGCGCGCCCATCCCGGGGTGGCTTGCGGGGTGTCGAGCCCCGGGGGAGCGGCGGGGTCCGGGTGTGGAGAGCTCGGCGTGGCTCGGCGTGGCTTGGCGCGGCGTGGGGACGCGCGGAGGGCGCGCGCGGGAGGGCCCCGCCTCGGCTGGCTCTCTCCTCCCCGCTCCGCCCCCGGACGGCCGCGAGGCGCGCGCCTCTCCTCGCACCCCCTTAACCCCGGGTCCCCACGCTCGGCTGGCTAGCCGAAGCTGCTGAGGTCGTGCGTGCGGGCACTGCCAAATGGTTCCGGGTTTAGGGTTCACAGGTCAGAGTTGACTCCCTGAAAAGTGCATTCGGTTTGAAATGCAAGATGGCGGCGGCGGCGGGGCGCTGAGAGGCGCGGCGGCGCCTGCAGGTAGCGACGCGACCGGAGGGCCCGGACGCCCCGGGCTGCGCGTGGGGGGCGGACGCCGGGGGTGCGGGGCGGCCCCAGGGCAGGGACCCCGGGGCCCAGCCGGCTCGCTGCGGCGGGGCGCACCCGGCGCGGGGCGTCCGTGGGGAGGGCCGGGGCCTGCGAGGGACCCTCCGCCTGCCTCGCGCTCCCCGGGCGGGGGTCGTGAGGGAGACATCAGAACCCCCCGCGTGAGCGAGCAGTGAGCACCTTGGGGGGCTGCTGAGCGGGCAGGGAAGGCTAGGTTTTCCCCGAGGGGCGACGCGGGGATGGAGGACCCCACCAAGGTTGAGGGCCCTCGCAGGGGCGCTGCCCTCTGGGGATGTGTGGCAACCCGGCGAGGCTAGGCTTCTCGGAGAGTAGAAGAGCTTTTCTAGTTGTTGCTTTGGGGTTGGAACCCCGGAAACCCTTCCGGGGGAAGGTGCAAGCCCTTCAGCCCCCCACCCGGTTCGGGGATGGGCTGCGCCTCCACTTGGGAGAAAGATTCGGCTGAGATCTTAACGACAGTATTACGATGTGCAGGCAGCGCTGGGATTTAGGGAAGAAGTTAATGAGAATGGAAAGAGCGCCCACCCTTTTCAATAGAACGGGGTGGGGCTACGCTGGGGTGGGGTGCTGGCGGTCCTAGGAAATCTTGGGGATGAAAGGCGAGGAAGAGGGGGTTCGGGCTGCGAGGTGCGAAGAGCCTCCAACGGGAGGCAAGAAGAGCCTTGTCCCTGTGCATTCGCCCCAAAGTTCCAAGAAAAGGGACTTGAAATTCTTTGTTCCAATAGGCCACCCCTTCCCTCAGTGGGCGCAGTGAGAAAAGAGCAACGTGTCCCCCCCCACACACCCCTCTCCCCACTGCTACCCAGGGGGCCGAGCTTTCTAGGGGTGCCTGCACTTTGGGTTAGGGACGGGTCCAACCCCTGCGGAGGCTTGGGGGCCAGGGGAGTTAGAAGAGGATGGAGATGGGATAAGATGGGAGACCTGGCAGAACAAGACGTGCACAGCTGTTTTCTGTCATTAACTTCAATTCTTCTTCTTATTATTATTATTTTAAGATGAAAAGAGCTCATCTTTGAGAGAAAAATGTCCAGAAAGGCTAGTCGATTATTTGTGGTGTGATTATGTTTCCCATGTAACTTCACAGAAAGAAGCAACTAGTTCCCTTGAAGTTAAGACTGATAGAGAAGACGCCAAGACTTGGGAAATAGACAGCGGTTCGTGGCTAGAGAGGATGCAGCGGGACTGGGGACTGTGGCGTCTGTGTGTGTGTGTGTGTGTGTGTGTGTGTGTGTGTGTGTGTGTGCACGCATCTGTCACGCACCTCTGGGGTAGTTGCTGTGGGTCATTGTTCCCAGTCTTTGTCTAAAAGCTTTAACTTGTGTTCCGTGGTGCTGCAGGAATTACCTTTGTTTCCAAGTAAGTCATCCCGACTTTATGCTGGTGCTGAGGCACTGAAACAAAGTCCTGGTTTCAACGGGAGTCTAGCCACCGCTCTAGGCTTAGAGTTTGAATTGCTAGAGTACCAGTTCTGACTCCTGAGTCTAAGCAAGAGAACCCAGGAGCTGCCGATGGAATAATGAGGCAAGAATGAGGAGGAAGCAGCTCTTACGGCTGCGTTTCAGGTTTTCGTTCCTTTAGTGAGCATTGTAGAACTGCACACACGAATTTTAGACAAAGTAAGATGCGTCTGGGTTCAGTCTCTTTAATGTGAAAATGGTAACATTTTATTTACCCATTGATTCTTTTTTTGTAGAAGTATCTCTTCATGGGTTTTATTTACTAGGATTGTTATTTGCTAGGGACTAAAATGAGAAAGCAAGAATTAAAATAAGATGGATAACTGAAAATAGCTGTGATATTTCGTTTCAGACTTTCCAGGCCATTGTTGTGTTTTCAAAAGGGCTTGAGGTTATTGGCAATGCCTTACAGATACAGCTGAAGCTTGCACCAGCTTAGAGCACCCCGGGAACTGTGTGTGCTGTTCTTTGGTCTCCTCCAAGTGCGCATAGCTCCAGTGTCACAGATTGGGCTGGGCGAGGCCCAGGGGCGCGCAGCCCGCTGGTTGGCGCTGGTTGGCGATGGGCTGCGGCCGGCAGCCCCCACTGGGCCAGGCCTCAGCGCTGACTTGGCCGATTGGGAGGGTGGCTCATCAGGGCTGTGGCAGTGCCTTAGCCTCTCAGGAGACTTATCAGTTCTTTCTTTTGGATAGCTGTGAATAAAGTTTTACAATTAATTTGCTAATTAAAATGGCATGGGGGAGGTGGCTCATTCTGAACCTCTTTTCCTTTTATTTTTTGCTTTAAGGTAGAAGGGTTATGTTGAGATGTATTACATGTTTTCTTTGAATTGAGCACAGAAGTGGTATTTAAGACTCAGTTGCCTGTGACTTAGGACTTAATATCTAAGTGCTCTTAAGATGATTTAAATCATTACAGATGCAGTTGAGGAAGCGACACCTGTATCTGTGCAGTAGCATTGTCCATTTGGGCTCAAAAGACTTTACTTGAGTATTACCCATGCTGAGCGTTCAGTATTTAATCGAGTCTTTGTTCTTAAGGATTTATTTATTTGTATTGGAAGGACAGATATACAGAGAGGAGGAGACACAGAGAGGAAGATCTTCCGTCCGATGGTTCACTCCCCAAGTGGCCACGATGACTGGAGCTGAGCCAATCCAAAGCCAGGAGCCAGAAGCTTATTCCAGGTCTCCCACGTGGGTGTAGGGTCCCAAAGTTTTGGGCCATCCTCCCCTGTTTTCCCAGGCCATTAACAGGGAGCTGCATGAGAAGTGGGGCTGCTGGGATAAGAACCGACACCCACAGGGGATCTCGATGCTTTCAAGGCCAGGACTTCAGCTGCTATGCTATCGTGCTGGGCCCTAATCTAGTTTTTAGTCTGATATCATAGTGAAATTCTTAGGGAGGGATTTGGAGTTTTTCTGTTCTAAAGTAATTGTATATATTTTTAAAAATATGATTTTAGCGCTTGAACAAGATCTAGTGTTTCTATAGTGCTACTGATGAATTTTATTGTGTCTTTGTGGCTTTGAAATGTTTGTAATAATAAGTAAACAAATTTACATGACTGAAGTTGCGCATTTAGATTGCTTTTCAGGATGTATGTTTAGGTTTACATTTTAGAAATCAATATTGTATACATTTATTCTTAAATGTGTAAACTTTTATATAATTGCCAGGTTTGGGTTTTAGAAGATTAATCTTGGCATTTTTTGTGATCATTATTCAATGATTTATCACCAGTTGTAAAATGCATGTGTGTTTATGTATATATGGCTCTATGACAGATGCATATCTTTGGCCTAAACAATTGTAATGATCTGTGAAACACCAGTTTATATAGGTTAGGAATGACATTTACTCAGGGAACCAGTTGAATAAATACTTTAAAAAATATAGTTATTTTTATTGGAAAGGCAGATATACAGAGAGGAGGAAAGACAGAGGGGAAGATCTTCCGCCATTGATTGATTCCCCAAGCGGCCACAACGGCCAGAACTGCACCAATCCAAAGCCAGGAGCTTCCTCCCAGTCTCCCACATGGGTGCAGGGTCCCAAGGCTTTGGGTCATCTTAACTGCTTTCCCAGGCCACAGCCAGGGAGCTGGATGGGAAGCGGGACTGCTGGGACATGAACCAGTGCCATGTGGGATCCCGGTGCGTGCAAGGTGAGGACTTTAGTTGCTAGGCTACCATGCCAGGCCCGAATAAATACTTTTTAATGCAGGATTTTTATTTCACTTTTTAGATTTAGATTTTAAGAACTCATCATCAGAGCTTGTGCATCAAAAATATTAAGGTGGCAACTGTATCATAAGCATTTTTTGTTTTCAATAAAATTAAAACTCCTGAAATTGTGGTCATTTTCCTGTTTCCCATATGATTTCAACTCCGGGTTTTCTGTTGCTGAAGGTCTTCCCTAGTGCTTGTAGAAATAGAAGGACATGGGAAGTTCTGGTATTTCATGACGTTTCCCCTCTCCTGCCAGTGTCGTCTCTGTCGCCGTCTCGGCTCACTGGGCACAGGCTGTGCTTGGGAGGGAGGAGAGTGAGAAGAGGGCTACAAGGTTATTTGTAAGAGCAATTTGTTCTATGAAATACCTCTTAAAATATACCATCCGGGAGTGATTCATTTTGAAACTAAGGTGAAAGAAAAGGGTGTGGAGAGGGGATTAAATCATGATTCATTAGTGTCTTCCTGTTAAAGTCAACTTGTACCAATGTGATTTAAAATACTCAAAGATATGAATTAAAAAATGAAGTTAATGTGCTCAGGGCAACGGCTCAACTCAGTAATCTTCCTTCAAGCACCAGGCTTCCATATGGATGCCTGTTCATATCTCAGCTGCTCCACTTTCCATTCAGCACTCTGCTTAAAGCCTGGGAAAGCACTCAAGGATGGCCCAAAGCCTTGGGACCCTGCACCCACATGGAAGACCTAGAAGAAACTCCTGGCTCCTGGCTTCGGAAGGGTTCAGCTCTGGCATTGCAGCCACTTGGGAATGAACCAATAGATGGAAGATTTTTTTTGTCTCTCCTTCTCTCTATATATATGCCTTTCCAATAAAGAAATTTGGGGGAAAAAAAATTGGGTCTGTTGCGGCGACCTATGAGGCTAAAGTCCTCACCTTGAACACCCCGGGATCCCATACAGATGCAGGTTCTAATCTCAGCAGCTCCACTTCCCATCCAGCTCCCTGCTTATGGCTTGGGAAAGCAGTGGAGGACGGCCCAAAACTTTGAGACCCTGCACCCACGTGGGAGACCTAGAGGAAGTTTCTGGATCCTGGCTTCAGATCGGCATAGCATCGGCTGTTGTGCTCACTTGGGGAGTGAATCATTGGACAGAAGATCTTCCTCTCTGTCTCTCCTCCTCTCTGTATATCTGCCTTTCCAGTAAAAATAAAATTTTTTTAAAAAATGTAGTTGATTGCTTGAATGTTATCAGGTTTGTCAACACTCAGCTAATCTTTAAAGCACACAGCTTTCCTTTGTTATGTAACTTGAAGTCAGCATCTTTAGTAAAATAAGAAATATCTAACATTTATGTTCCTCCCAAGGTGTAGGAGATACTCAGAAAGTTTTTGTATCTGTTACAGTCCTCGCAGCAAGCACACTAGGGAGATGTGATTATTAGTCTCATTTGTAGGTGAGGCACAGAGAGGTTAAATCATTCATTCAGAGCCACTCAGGTGTGAAGAGATGGTGTTGGAATTTGAACTCAGTCTGGTCCAAGCCTCTTGGTCTTTAAAATCTGTCTACATCAAGAATATCTTTTATGTTTTATTACATAATGTACATTGTAGAGATGAACTCTTTACTTTTTGAAAGCCCGCTCATTCTGAATTAAAAAAAAAAAAAAAAACCTTGAATTGGAAATGTTATGCAGTAATCCCTGCATCAGGAACTAAACCAATGTCAGGTGGCTAGAATTTTCATTCAGAAGTTGGGAGCCCATTTGCCTGCTGCCTCTTGGCAGCTCTTCCCGGGAGACGCTCGCTCTGCGAAACATCTTGCATTTGCTGGATGATCTCAGAATGGATTGAATAAGTTACCAATTTCCTAAGATATTAATAATTCATTTTGGAAAATAACCTCTCCTCTTTGGCAGCTGTTTCTCGTCTTCTCTCCTAGCCCGTATCCTGTAGATGGATGGCTAAGGAGGAGCTGAACGGGAGATGGCAGGAAATGAAATTGTACCTGCGCAGGCTGAGGAGACAACAACCTCCTCCCCCGGGGACCCCAAAACATGCTCCTTGGCATCTCATGAAAACGTATCCAGTCAGCTTCGACTTAGCATGGATGGATTTTCATAGATTTATGGTATTTCTCACATAAGAGGGCTCTTCATCAAGTAGTATTGAACAGTGACAGAAATAAAAAGATGTGGTATTTTGGGAAAGTTGCTTTTCTAGCTATCCCTTCGTTATAGTTTGCAGAGTGTCAGTGATTCAAGAAAAGCACCAAATAGACTGTATCTCCTTAAAAGCACTATTTTCTGTTACTCTAGTAAGAGGATCAGTTATAACTTTATTAAATTATCTGGTTAAACTGCACTGGGTAATGTAAGATTTTTGGATGCTAATGATTCTTTTTTGAAAATTTTGTTTGTTTGGAAGTGAGAATTACAGAGAGAGTATTTGCAATGGCAGAGTCACTCAGTGTCTGGGCTGAGCCAGGCCAGAGCAGGAACCCAGAGTTCAGGCCCATCTCCGGCCTGGGGTGCAGAGAGGCCCAAGCCCTCTAGCCATCTTCTACTACATTTCCAGAAGTATTAGCAGGGAGCTGAATCAAAAAGCAGACCCACTGGGAGCTGAAACAGCACCCAAATGGATGTGTGTAAGCGCTGGTTTAATGTGCCACATGACAACAGCTGCCCTGTACTTTTCAAAGAACAGTTTTCAATTGTTTGATTACAAACTATTGATGTTTCATGTAGTTTTGTAGTTTCAGGTACTATTGTAGTAAAACCGAATAATTAAGCACTGATATCTTGTTGCATAACCTAATGTTTAGGCTTAGAGTACCACTGGGTTATTTTAATTATTATTGGCTTGAATTGCCAGCATTAATAATCTTTACCACCATATTTAATGCATTATAAATTAGGATACAAATACTAATAGGTTTGTGTGCAAATACAAATGAACATACCTTCTTCCAACATTTAAAATTAGTACATAAATGTTATGAAAACTTCAATTAAAAGTTGAGAGAGGGCCCGGCGCGGTGGCGCAGGTGGTTCTTAAGTCCTCACCTTGCACGCCCGGGATCCCATATGGGCGCCGGTTCTAATCCTAGCGGCCCGCTTCCCATCCAGTTCCCTGCTTGTGGCCTGGGAAAGCAGTCGAGGACTGCACAAAGCCTTGGGACCCTGCACCCGCGTGGGAGACCCGCAAGAAGCTCCTGGCTTCGGATTGGCATAGCATCGGCCGTTGCGCTCACTTGGGGAGTGAATCATCAGACAGAAGATCTTCCTCTCTGTCTCTCCTCTCTGTATATCCGCCTTTCCAATACAAAAATAATAAAAATAAATCTTTAAAAAAAAAAGTTGAGAGAAAGATCTTCTAGCTGCTGGTTCACTCCCCAAATGGTCACACCGGCCGGAGCACTATAATGCATTAAATACTGTGGTAAAGAGTTCTCTCTGTCTCTCCTCTCTGTAAGTCTACTTTTCCAATGAAAATAAGTAAATCTTTAAAAATAATAATAAAATAAAGATTTATTTATTTTCATTGGAAAAGCCAATCCAAAGCCATGAGCCAGGAGCTTCTTCCAGGTCTCCCATGCAGGTGCAGGGTTCCAAGGCTTTGGGGCTATCTTCCACTGATTTCCTAGGCCATGAGCAGGGAGCTGGATTGAGCAGCTGGTACATGAACTGGCACTCATATGGGACCCTGTCGCTTAGACGTGAAGGATTAACTAGTTGAACCATTGTGTTGGCCCCAGATTCTAAGCTTTTTGTTTTTGTTTTATGATTTATCCTATTTTTATTGAAAAGTCAGATTTACAGAGAGAAGGGTCTTCTGTCTGCTGGTTCACTTCTCTAGATGGCCATAGCAGCCGGAGCTGAGCTGATCAGAATCCGGGAGCTTACAGATTTTTGCAGATCTCCTATGCAGGTCCAGGAGTGTGGTGGTTTGGGCCATCTTCTGCTACTTCCTTAGGTACAAACAGGGAGCAGGAAGAGAAGTAGAGTAACCGGGATATGAACTGGCACCATATAGTATCCCGGTGCGTGAAAGGCAAGGCTTTAGCTACTGGACCATCACACCAGGGCTCTGGTACAACCTTTACAATGGTCCTTGGAGGACAGAACTGTGGCTTAGCAGTTATAGTTGCCATCGGCTGTGCTGGCATTCCATATGGCTGCTCTACTTCTGACCCAGCTCCCTGTTAATGTTCCTGGGAAAGCAGTAGAAGAAGGCCCCCATGCTTGGGTTCCTGCACCCACATGGTAGACTCAAAGAAACTCCCAGCTCCAGCTCTAGCCAGCCAGTGCTTGCTATCATGGCCATTTGGGGAAGGGGAGTGAACCAGCAGATGGAAGACCTCTCGTGCTCCCTGCTCCCGCTCTTTCTCTAACTGCCTTTAAAAAAATGATTTAAAAAGTGTATTAAATATATAAATATATTTACTTAAGTTGCTCCTTGGGCTGCCCACCTCCCGCACTGAAGTCCTGTCCACTCCCTGCTGATGTCTCCCCGGGGAGCAATGGGTGTTGTCTGGAGGAGTTGGGTTGCTGTCCCCCACACAGGAGACCTTGGTGGAACCCTGGACTCCTGGCTCAGCCTGGCTCAGCCCTGGCTGCTGTGCGGGTTGGAGGAGTGAGACACAGATGTGCGATCTTTATCAGTCTTTCTGTCTCTTTCAAATAAATGAAAATAAGTACTCTTAAAATTGTTTCCTTTCTTTTTTAGCAGTTTTAAAATCTATTTTTAAAAGATTTATTTATTATATTTGCAAAGTCAGATATACAGAGAGCAGGAGAGACAGAGAGCAAGATCTGTGCACTGATTCGCTCCCCAAGTGGCAGCAACAGTTGGATCCAAGCCGATCTGAAACCAGAAGCCAGGAGCCTTTTCTGGGTCTCCCATAGAGTGCAGGGTCCTAAGGCTTTGGGCCGTCCTCAACCACTTGCCTAGGCTACAAGCAGAGAACTGGATGGGAAGTGGAGCTGGGATTAAAACTGTTGCCCATATAGAATCCTGGTGTGTGCAATGTGAGGACTTTAGCTGCTAGGCCATGGCGCACTGGGCCCACAATTATGTTTATTTTCAAAAAGTAAGACATAAACTGTAAAAATTGTTATGGATAAATCATATGTAGGATAATAAGCCATTTTCCACCTTTTTTCGGTAGGATCCTGTGGACCTGTTTGCAAGGATGGCCTGAGCTAAGCGTCTCCTGATTTAAAGGGATATCCTCCCATTTCAAAGAACAGGATGCTCAGGAAGCTTCGGCAAGTATGTGTCTCGTTGCTTCTCTATGGTAACACTCAGGTGGTTCCACAATTTAGAAACTCTAAGATATAGACTGCTTTAACTTCAAAGGAAATAGCACACCTCCTAATAAATCTCAGGTGGTATGTTTATTTATTTATTTTTATATTTTTACAATCTTTACATAGTTAATTAGGGTAAAAAGGTTCAAGGGCTATAGGAAACTGGGTAAGACTATTATTTCCATGTGTTTCCTTCATGCTTAAAGGGGGGTATTAAGGGAGAAGGCCCACCCAATTCCCCACCCTCCCCAGGTTCCGGATGTAGGGTATGTTCTGAGGTTCTTGCTCACGTGGTTTTGATAGTTCAACAGTTATGAATCGCTGCCAATCTTGCCACTCCAAGCATGATGAAGTCTTTGCAGAATCCACTGATAGACATAGTTCATCATAGAGTCTCTGTTTGCCCCATATTTCGCTGCCAAGATATAGCTGAGATGGCTGATTGACCTGTTCCATCTTCTCTGTTTTTTCTTGGTTAGGGTTCTGAGTCCAGCATTTTGATTGGGGAGATCTCCAAAGAAACTTTGTCTGAGGTGTTCTCAGACCAGATTCTTGTATGTACTAGCAAGTACAGGGCCCGACTCAGTCCATCACCCTGATCAGCTGGTGGTTGCGATGGCTGGGTTGGTTCTGTTTTCAGCCCCGACTTCCACTGGAGCCAATGGGTGTTGCAGTCCAGCCTGGTTCTGCCCAGCACATACTTGGCCCTCACATAAACAAGTGGGAGCTGCAGCCTAGTTGGAGCGACCCACAATAACCCCCACCAGACCTGCCCCCTACCCTGGTTTGCTAGTATGTGTAGCAGTAATCCAGTCTGTCCCACACCCCATTCCACCCCAGCCACTGTCCTGGTTTTCATCCCCTCCCAGGGAAGTGGTAACTTAAGAGGGAGGAGCCCACTATTTCCCTCCCAGGCCTCTCCCACTCCCGGATTATGCTTTCTCCAGGTAGTTCTGTGGTTTGACTTGACAGAACTAGCCCCCAGTGCCAGCTTCTGCCAGCTGATGCTGTGGCTAAGGCCAAACAACCCTCACCCACTCTAATTTTGTTTGCACCAGTAGGAATAATCAGCCTAGCCTGGCTTTTCCCTGATCTAGTCCACTTGAGGCGCACAGGTGTTGTAGCCCTGCCTATTCTGGTCTGCCCCCATCCCAGCTCACGCTCTCCAGTGGGAGTAGCTGTCCAGCAAAGGAACCTCAGGTAGTATGTTTATAACTGACTTTTCTGTCTTACTGTGGTATGTTTATAATCGATTTTTCAATTACTGTTTGCTGAAAACAGCTGTGTGTCAGACAGTATACCAAGTGCAGTGATAAAGCAGATAAACAAGACGCAGGAGGGTCCTGAGGGCAGGAGCCTCACTGTGGGGAACCGATCCAGAGATTGTTATATTCTTGTACCTAGATCCAGAAAAATGCTTTAAGATACTACAGCAGTCCTGGGACACAGCGGCCGGGGTGCAGCAAGTTAATCTTCCACTTTGTGGCGCCAGCATCCCACATGGGTGCTGGTTCATGCCCCAGCTACTCCCATTCTGATCCAACTCCCTGCTCTGACCTGGGAAAGCAGCAGAGGATGGCTCAGGTCCTTAGACCCCTGCACTGGTGTGAGAGACAAGGAAGAAGCTCCTGGCTCCTGGCATTATATCAGGTCAGCCCTGGCTTTGCAGCCATGTGGGAAGTGAACTAGCAGAGGAAGCCCTTCTCTGTCTCTCCTCTGTGAAATCTGCCTTTCAAGTAAAAATAAACAAACCTAAAGCAAAAAAACTTAGGTAAGAGATAAAATATGAAAGCAAAGGGCCAGACCTTTGAAAAAAAAAAAAAGAAAGAACAGGGCTGAGATATAATTTCATTTATAAATAGTTTAATAATAGTTGATTATAAACATTTAATTCATAACTAAATATTTTATTTAGATTAACCATGCCAATATTTATATACTTTTATTTACTTTATTAACTATTATAAGATTTATTTATTTGCAATCAGCATTATACAGAGAGAGAAAGGAAGAAATCTTTCATCCACAGGGAAGTGGAGCAGCTTGAACTTGAATTGGCAGTCAGATGGGATGTACCACCCACTGCACCACAGTGCCAGCCCCCTAATTAACTGACTTTCCAAGATGAGCATTAGGTTACATGTTACTGTACTTGAAATCTTTATACTTTAATCCAGTTGTTATGTAAAAGATTTTTTTTAAAGATTTATTTATTTGTATTGGAAAGGCAGATATACAGAGAGGAGGAGAGGCAGAGAGGAGGATCTTCTGTCTGATGATTCACTTCCCAAGCAGCCACAACAGCTAGAGCCAATCCGAAGCCAGAAGCCAGGAGCTTCTTCTGGGTCTCCCATGTGGGTGCATGGTCCCAAAGCTTTGGGCAATCCTTGATTGCTTTCCCAGGCCACAGGCAGGGAGCTGGATGAGAAATGGGAATGCCAGAATTAGAACCGGCGCTCAAATGGGATCCCAGGCTGTGTGAGGTGAGAACTTCAACCACCATGCTATCATGCTGGGTTCTGTTATGTAAAAGTTTAAACATGTATCTATTTGTCTGAGAGGCAGAACTACGGAGAGAGCGCTCTTCCATGGGTTGGTTCCCTCCATAGATGACTGCTGTAGCTGGGACTGCGCCAGACTGAAGCCAAAACCTACACCTCTAACTGATTTCCCACAAGGTATCAGGGGCATAGCTAAGCACTTGGACCATCTTTTATTGCTTTCCCAGGCGTATTAGCAGGGAGCTGCTTTGGAAGAGGAGCAGCCAGAACTTGAACTTGTGCTAACAGAGCACAATGCCGGCATCAATAGTTTAAAAAAAATTATTTTTATTTGAAAGTCAGATTTTACAGAGAGAGGAGAAAGGGTAGAGAGAAAGAAAGAAGTCTTCTGTCTGCTGGTTCACTCCCCAAATGGCTGCAATGGCCAAGCTAAGCCAATCCTAAGTCAGAAACCAGGAGTTTCTTCAGGTCTCCCATGTGGGTAGTTACCCAAGGACTCAGGCTGTCCTCTGCTGCTTTTCCATGCTGTAAGCAAAGAGCTGGATTGAAAGGGGAGCAGCATGATCCAGTATATGGACAGGCACCCTTATGGGATCCCAGGGCATATAAGGCAAGGACTTCAGCCACTAGGCTGCTTCTCCGGGCCCCCCAAAATATATATATTTATTTATTTGAAAGAGTTATAGAGAGGGAGAGAGAGAGAGAGAGAGAGAGACAGCTCTTCTGTCTGCTGATTGACTCTCCTGATGGCTGTAAGAGCCATGGCTTGGCCAGGCCAAAGGCACGAACCGGGAGTGTCTTCCAGGTCTTCCCTGTAGGAGAATTGTTTACAATTGTGACATCTTCCACTGCTTTCCCCAAGTTACTAGCAGGGATCAGGATCAGAAGGGGAGCAGCCAGGATATGAAATGATGCTCATATGGATGTTGAGGTTATACCTGGCAGCTTTACCATTTATACCACAAGCACAGTACCTTTCTCATTAAAAAATATATATATATATGAGTTCTTACAAGTCAGTGGTACCAATACTAATTACTACTTTCCTTCAAAGAATTTTTGTGATTGGAGCTAACCGTCCCTTGTTTTATAAATGAGGAGATTTTGGACCGGTGACTGGTTCATCAGCCTCTCAGAGATAATGTCACTTGGAACTGAAAAGAGCAGTCTTAGGTTAGACTGTGAAAGCACGCTTGATAAACTGCAGAAAATTATTTTGGATCATATACACAAACTCTTAAGATAGGCAATTTCATGGTAGTGCTAGTTAATGCAGTACTCTCATTGTATTACATATGTGCTTACATGAAAGCTGCAGGTAGAAATCTTTTCAGATATAGAGGGCTGAGGGTTTGGTGCAGTGTTTAACCTGCTGCTTAAAGAAGCCTGAATCCAGGTGCCTGCTCTGCTGTCGATCTTGGCTTCCTGCACACGAGAGGCAGTGCTGATGGTTCAAGTGCTTGGCTCATCCCCACCATCCATGTGGGAGAGATGGATTGAGTTCCTGGATCCTGGCTTGGCCAGGTCCAGTCCCGGTTGTTGCAGGTGCTTTGGGAATAAGCCAGGAGATAGGAGATGCTTCAGTGGTAAAGCTGGGGTCCGAGTTTGGCAGTGGTCCAGGTTGGATTCCTCTTCCGCTCTTCAGCATTATTAAGGTGTGTTTTCTTGGGGTGAGGATGGTAGGTTGGGTGGGAGGTACGGGGTTGGGGGAGGCTGTGGCCGGGGGCGGGGGATGGCAGATAAGAAAGACAGCAACGATTGAGTTTCTTTGTCTTCAGCCCTTAGCAAAGGCAGCCTCTTTCGTTAGATTATCTTTGTCCACTCTTAAAGTGACACACAGAGAGAATGAATCTTCTCTTAACTGATTTACTCCCCAAATATTCCCACTGACCAGGGTTGGGCCAGAACAAAGCCAGGAGCCTGAAGGTCCATCAGGGCTCCTCAGTGGGTGCGGGGACCCAAGGATGTAGGCCATCCTCTGCTGCGTTCCCTGTGCGCAGAAGCTGCTGGAAGCCGAAGCAGCCCTCCAACAGGGGCCGCTAGCATTCTGGACAGGAAGTTTGCCTGCTGTGCCACAAGGCCAGCCCCGGTTTCTGGGGTGCTTTCACTTTTCTTACATCCATTTCTATCTCTGTATTTACTTTGATACTTGATTTTTAATTTTTTGAGACCATTTCAACTATTTTTTGAGATTTCTTTCTCATGTAATGATTTTGTGTTGCCGATAAACTTTAAACATTTGTTTTGAGGATAAATTTGTGTTGTCAATTCTTAATTTTTTAAAAGATTTTTAAAATGTATTTTTATTGGAAAGGCAGATATACAGAGAGGAAGAAAGACAGAGAAGAAGATCTTCCATCCACTGATTTCACTCTCCAAGTAGCCACAACGGCTGGTGCTGAGCCAATCTGAACCTAGGAGCCAGGAGCTCTTCCGGGTCTGCCACGTGGGTGCAGGATCC